CATACATTTCTTGGCGTGAATCCCGCTGGGACTGGCTATCAAAAAAACATGTAAAGTGACTATATATCAGATCTTAAAATGAAATCATGACTTGAAAAAAATGAGAAAGTGGTCCCATTTGGTCTCATTTAGTCCCATTCTTGGCATAAAGTTACTATTTTTAGACATTTTAAGGTTTTTTTTAGACTATTTTTAATTTTTTAAAAAGTAACGCTTTTTGGTAACGCTCAAATGAGATTTAAAGTCATTTAAAGCAATAAAAATAATTTAAATTGAGAAGTGGAAATCATGATCTCATTTGGAAAATGTGACAAGAGTAGACAGTAAGTCTCACTGAGACAGTATGAGACTACTATCTAATGTTAAAACCGTGTAATGGGATCAGTCGAATTGGTAATGAGACTATCAAAAAATCTGGTCTTGGTTTCAGACACGGTCACACGGTCAGTCTAGTCTCTCTCTGTAAGTATGTATTTTCATTGAAGAAGTAACAGATTCAGATGTTAGCTTTAAGACTCTTAAGAAGACTGTTGCTGACTCTGTCTGTGACTTCTCAAATTTCTATTTTAATTTATTCAGACAGTTTGTGTGAAGATATTCTGATTTAAAATAAATAAAGCAGAGATTCTTTTTCTTAATCTCTCTATTATACACTCTGTTTATAGAAGCTTATAAAGCTCTTTCTTTCTACTCAGTAGTTAGATATAAATCTCTCTATATTTTATTATCTTTTCTTAGTAAACCTGTTCTCTGTTATTCTGATTCTCATGAGATTCATTAGTAGTTTACTCTTTACAGATCTGTGACTCTCACAGTAATCTGTAAGTGATGAATAAGAGTTATCAGTTTCTTTAGAGTCAAGAGCTTAGAGTCTTACTCAATAAGCTTATTCTGCATATCTTTATTCAGTCTCTTTATAAATATTATTATTCAGATCTTATTTCAGAGCTCTGTTTTCACAGATCTTAATTCATATCATAATTTTATAAAGTATCATGAGTAGTCTTTATCAGATTTCTCATCTCTTTTTCTAATATTAATGATTACAGCTCAGATGTTCTCTATTCAGCTTATAGAGTTTCTTAACTTATTCTCTAGATAGATCTTAAAAATAGATTAGTGAGATCTCTTATAATCATTCTCTAGATAATTCAGTCAGTTCTTAACTTCAGTGTAGTAGAGATCTGTTATTGTATAGATAACAGCTTCTTCATCTTTCATATCACACAGCTGAGCTTGTGGGTCAATTTCAAATACAAACTTATAAAAGCTTTTATAGATTGTGATTTGATAAGTAGTCTTAAGTGATTGTAACTTAAGAAAGTTTTCTTTCAGTTCACAGATATCTCTGAAGATCATGTCTAGAGACTCAGTTTAAGAGTGTTTACAGACAGTGAGTATTTCTTATAGAAAAATAGCTTGATTCTGTGAGAGATGCTCAAGAATGTTCTTCACTGAGATTGATTTATTTATCAGTTCAGAGAGTTTCTCTGTTACAGATGTAGAGAATAATATCTTATAAGTGATTAATAAGTTCTCTAAGACTTCTTTTACAGAGATTATTCATAATTCAGATGACTGCTTCTAGATATCTGTAGTAGAGTTTACAGGGATTGAAGCATGTGAGTTTCTAGCTCTTTCAGTCATAACAGGTGATTGCTGACTGACAGAGCTTGAAATGTAAGAATAAGTGCTCATGTCACGCCCCTGGCCGCGTCAAGACTCTGCTGCGGTTCCGCACGGCTCATTACTTCCCTGCGGATGATTTCATTCATTCTGCAGACTGTTCAAACCAGTTTTCAATCACTCTATGACATTATTCAGATATATTATAGAAAGATCTGATTGATAAATATGAGAACTCTGCTTCTATACAAGGTCAGCAGATTACTCTTTCTTGATAGTGAGATACTGCTGAGGTATCACTTCAGCTATTCTCACTTATGAAATGAGAGAAGAGTATCTGTTCATTGTCTATATAGAATAACTAGATACTAGCTTCTAATTAAAGAAGTCAGTGATTTGTTTTTCTTCTACTGAAATATATACAAGAGTTACTGTATTTCTCATACAATCTTCTTAGTATACTAAGTACTGTATCTGTGATATTTTCATGATAACTCTGTAGTCTATGAGCTCACTATTCAAGTAAGATAGTCAAGCTCACTTATACAGCTTTTTAAATAACTATCTCTACATAACATCACTGACTAGTTATCACTTCAGTTTTATCACATTACAATTCAAATGACTTAATCTGATTACAAGTTTGAATCAGTCAAGCTCTAACAGACTGATATGATCTCATACACCTGTGCTGAGACCAACTCAACCTCACTCTCTGAGAGAAACTTTACATCATTTTCTAGAGTATATACATCTCTATCTCAGCAGAAATCTGAGATTTCTGAACCTGCTGCATACTTTGATATAAGTTCTTCAACTGCTCTATTATCACTGCAGTCTCTACACATCTACATCTATTATGAAGATAGAGAGATTAAGATTGAAGATTCTCTGAATTATAAGAGAAACATATTGTCTGAATTTCACAGCTTCATCTGTACTCTTAAACAGAAATTTCATCTTAATCTGAGTCAGTTTAATACTCATAAGATATAAGTAATATATACTGTCAATCTTCTTGAAGACATCTCTGCAACTACTTGAATTATTAAGAAGAGAAAGCTTGAGCATACTAATACTGTTATAACTTGAGAAGAATTCAAAAACTTTCTACTGAATCAAATCAAAGATCACTACAACTACAGCTTCACAGCAGTACAGCAGTTTAACTCATTATATTAATAAGATAATAAGAATTCTTTCAATTTCAATGTAAGATTTGAAGAATATTAAGAGAAATTGACTGATGATTTGAATCAATTAAAGATACAGCTTTATCTTACAAAGCTGACTCACAAGATACAGATAATAATATCACAGTATCAGAGTTTATTAATTAATTACACTGAGCTTGTTAACTTGACTTTCTGAATCTATTTGAATAATCAATACTCTGAGAAAAAGATCAATAAGATCTCTTCTAAGTAATTAACAACAGAATCTAAACAGTGCTGTGACAGCTAGACTGGCCGCTGGGATCATGAATTTCATGTTTGATCCCATTTGGTCTGATCTCATACATTTCTTGGCGTGAATCCCGCTGGGACTGGCTATCAAAAAAACATGTAAAGTGACTATATATCAGATCTTAAAATGGAACCATGACTTGAAAAAAATGAGAAAGTGGTCTCATTTGATCTCATTTAGTCTCATTCTTGGCATAAAGTTACTATTTTTAAACATTTTAAGGTTTTTTTTAGACTATTTTTAATTTTTTAAAAAGTAACACTTTTTGATAACACTCAAATGAGATTTAAAGTCATTTAAAGCAATAAAAATAATTTAAATTGAGAAGTGAAAATCATGGTCTCATTTGGAAAATGTAACAAGAGTAGACAGTAAGTCTCACTGAGACAGTATGAGACTACTATCTAATGTTAAAACCGTGTAATGAGATCAGTCGAATTGGTAATGAAACTATCAAAAAATCTGGTTCTGGTCTCAGACACGGTCACACGGTCAGTCTAGTGACAGCTCTAGTGTGAAGAAAGTAAAGAAGAATTTCAAGTATTTCAATTCTTCACTCACTGTAAAGAAATATTAAAAAAGATTTGATAAAGATCTCTATTTTAACTGCAGAGCTGATAATCACTATACTAGTAATTATAAGAAGTTAAAGAAGAGAAGAAACTGAGAAGATATCTTCTCAAAGTCAACTTCTCTTCTGACAAATGTATTCACAGAAGATAAAGAAGAGAAAGAAATAAAGAATTGATAATTCTTATATCTCTGAGTTCATATTATAATCACAATAAATATTCTGAATAAGAAGATATCAGTGAGATGTCTACTCAACTTCAGAATAAATACTAACTTCATATTCTATTTCTTTTCTTTGATGAAGAATTGAAAGAAAATAGACTTGTCAGATCATGTGAAATTTAACTGATGAAATGAAATATCATCATTTTAACATAATTTAAGTGAATTGTATGATCACAGACTTAGAAGAAATCTTTAAGAAGAGCAGTCTGCTTTCTCACACAGTTAATATTATAGATAAGAATATCATTCTAGATCTTCTGTGATTGAGAGAAAACAATTCTCTCATTGACTGAGTCACTCAGATATGACAGTATCATCTCACTAATAAAGAGATAGTGATAGAGAAATCTGAAGAGTTTTATCAGAAGAATCTTAAGAAAAAGATAGAGTTAATATACTGTGTAGCAGATGACTAAGACTTGAGAACAGATGAAGAAGTCATCATTCTGACTGCAAGATTAGCAGTAGTATTCATTATTAAAGACAGATATATACAACATCTCTTTACAGATTATAAGAATATCTTTTCAGAAAGAGAAGTAGTGAAGTTTTCTGATATTATAATTCAGAAGAACGTACGACCGTCGGATAATAACGCGGCCGCTTCCGAACTTGCTTACGAATGTAAAGAGGCCATAGCAGTCATCAATTAATTTAGCATACAGTATATAAGAAGCCAGCGTACGTCTGTAATCATACACTGACTCAAGCAACCTTTGAATCACATCTGATAGCATATCTAAAAACTAGTGAGAAGTACAGGCTTCTTCAGAGTGTGATAATTCCATCTACAAAGTGATTTGTAGTTATCATGCCAGAGTGGTTCTAGAACATCTTAAAAGATAGTATACAAAGAGCAGTGAGTGAAAGAGCATCTGATTGATGCTGCTTCACTTATTGAGGGAAAACTCCACACTCAGATGAATGCCACATATGATATGCAAACAGATGAGATGTGAGAAAGAGAATGAAAGCAGTGAACAGATTCAAAGAAGTCTGCTCTCTACTCAAAAGAAGAATAAAAAGAAAGAGATGACCATCATCAGAGTTATACAATGATAACAGAAATCATATAACAATATAATAATAGACATTATACAATCAATGAGAAATCACTGAAATGAATATCTTCTCTAGTCAATACAAACAACACTCTTCTCTGCTATCTGAACTGGAAGATATGCAGAATCTCTTAGAGAGTTTACTCAAAGTAGTAAGAAAAGCAGCTGAGATCACTGAATCAGAATCAAAGCTCTGTATGTGTACAAGAATTCTAAACAAAATCAAGGTCTTGCATATTATTATTATTATTATTATTCTTCCATTATACTCATATGCAAGCGGAGCTTATGATGAGTCCTTGCGTGATGTTAAATACAGGTCAAGTGTTGGTTATACAGGAGGAAATACAGGTGTTGAGACCACGCCAAGATAACAAGAACATAGGAAAATACAAAGGAGTGACAATTAGATACATGCGATAATAACTTCCCAGCCCAGGAACATAGAGCAATTCATTGAAGTGATTTGTACACCTCTGTATTTATTAGGAACCTGAGGTGCTTGAGTTCCGGATTTAATGTATCCCCTGCGGGTTTCGAACCCACGCGCCTTGGTTTCCCACGCCAAGGTGCTACCGGGTGGCCGCATTAACCATTCGGCCACCGGGGCAGGTCTTGCATACACAGTGACAGGCTGAGGCAGAAGTCAAACAACAATTAGTATTCACTGCAAATCAAGTATTCACAATGAAGAGCTTCACTGATACAATCATCATCATTAATAAGAATAGAGAAAATCAGGTCTTAGATCTGCAGCAGAAGATTGAACATTTATACAGATAGATTACTACACTGAACCTGAAGATTTTATCATGATTATTATGATCTCTTCAGAAGTATACACATCATCAGAGACTGCTGTGCAGGATGAGAATTCAAGCATGAAATATATCAAGTCAGAAGATCTGTCAGAGTCATCAAGCTTCAATGACAACTGAAAAAATAATGCTGCAATCAGCTGGCTAAGTCAGATATGATTATATTATTGAATTGAATGTAAACTTACAGACAGACAGTCAATGAAATTTTAATAAGTCTTAAGATCTGCTATGTTTCTACATGAAAAAGTGAAGTTATTATAAATGACTGATGAAAAGATGAATCTCACAGATCTGAAATAATATTCATTCTTATAAACATGAAATGAGTTTTTCAAATGAATCTTATACAACTTTGAGAAAGTGAATGCATGAGATAAGTATTATAAATACTTCACTGAGTGTAGATAAGTGAGTAATCTTACATTATACTTCACACACTTCAGTTTACACTATCTCATATTGAATGAAGAGCTTCTAACATCTTTCTGTTTACAGATCTTCATTCATGATCTCACACCTGAGTTGAGAGTGAAATGAAAATACTTAACCTTATAATCAGACACAGTGAAAGAAGCATATAATATTCTCATTATACAGAAACAAGTGAGTCAATTACAATAGAAAATACTGCAATCAAGTATATCTCAGTGAAGAATAAATAATCAGACTTCTATAACATAAGTCACATACTCAGATACAATGAATCTAGATTTGAATGTCATTACTAAAGCACTGAATTCTCTGAAAAAAGAATTCTCTGAGTGAAAACCTTGATATTATAAGCATCAAGCTTGCTTCAACTGCAGATGTCAAAATCATGATATAAAAGATTGCACACAGCATGTACAGTCAAGAAAGTCAAAAAACTAGCAGAATCAGTGAGCTCAGAGACACTCACTGATATTCTATGAAAAGTCTTCAAAGTGAAAGAGATGTCTGTGTTAGATGATTCTCTGAATTCTGTAAATATCAAGAGAAAGCAGGCTTCTGAATAAGATGTAAGTGAGAATGAAGTGAACACTCATCTCAATGCCTTGAGACTCGAAATGTTAATGTATAAGAGACACTTGAATAAGAATCAAGAGATAGCTACAAAAGTGTTAACAGATACAGAAGTATCTACATAATATATTGATAATTATATAATCTGAAGACTGAAAGAAGTCTGCTGAGTGAAGAATTCTCAATATATAAGATTGTCTGATAACTGATATTTGATATCATCTACAAGAGTAAGAGTTCTCTTGCACTTCAGAGAATAATCTTGCTATATTTGAGTGCAAGAGCTGCAGAATATGAAATACAACCTTATTTTCAGACTTGATTGATTTCAAAGATTCAATCTGTAGATTCAATGACATACATGTCATATGCAGTTGACTGATAGAAAGAAAATGATTCATACAATTCTATTAACTGATATGAGAAGGACATTTCACATCTCTGATATAGAAGAGTTAAATCTGCTTACATATTAACAAGTAAAGAGAATGATTCACAAGACCCCATTCAAAAGCATTCTGTATATCATATAGAACCTGAAAGTGAAGAAAACCAAGATAAAGAATATGCAGGAGAACAAGTATATGAAGAAGCTTCTGAAGAAGTATGAGAAGATCTTCTGAACAGATCTTTCACTGAAATTGCTGTCAGAATGAGAATTCATACATGAGATTGACATGAGGGATGTGAAACCAGTCAACCAGAATGTGTACTCTCTGTCACAAACACATCTCAAAGAACAGAAGCATCAGATCACAGACCTTTTAGAACATGATCTCATATAACTCTTATCAAGTGTGTGAGACTTTCTAGTTCTATTCATGAAAAAGACAGATGAAGAGTAGCAGATGTGTATGAATTATCAAGCACTCAACAAGCTTATAATCAAGAATGAATATTCACTGTCACAGATTCAACAACAGTTGAATACAGTTAAAAATGTCTGATATCTATCAAAGATTGATCTTCTCTCAGAATACTGACAGATTTATGTAGATAAACTGTCAGTTCTGTGAACTGTGTTTAATACACAATAAGAGAAGTTTGAATTTCTGACAATATCATTTAGTCTGACAAATGTGTCTGTCATCTTTCAAACAATGATGAATACAATTCTTCATAAACAGAATGAAATCTCATGTCTTATATATTTCAATGATATTCTAGTCTTTTCAAACTCATATAATAAACATCTGAAGCATCTCAATGAAGTGCTTATAACTCTGACAGAGCATAAGCTCTATATCAAATTAATAAAGTGTGTGTTTGAAATGAAAGAGTTGAAGTTCATAGAATATGTAGTGAGTGATGACTGTATACACCTTATTCTAAAGAAATTAAATGTCATAGTAAATTAATTGCAGCTGAGAAATATATACTATGTACAATAGTTTCTTAAGTTATTCTCATATTATTATGGATTTATCAAGAATTTCATACAAATATCTGCATCACTCTCAGATCTCTTAAGAGAAATAAATATAAATCTGTAAAAGAAGAAGTTTCATTCAATCATCTCAAATGCTGTGTGTGAAGAGACTTTTCTCACACTGAGAGAATGTATAATAATATTCTCAGTGCTTATTCAATCAGATCATGATAAATCTTTCTATATTAAGACAGACATATTTAAATAAGCTATCAGAGATGCTCTTCTACAGATGAGTAAGAACAGCAAGCTGCACTCAGTGATATATGATGATAGAAAACTATCAGATGCTGAGCTCAATTACTCAGTATATGAAAAGAAATTACTAGTAATTAAGCATACACTGATGTTGTGAGATAGATATATCAATAATAGATATATAATAACAGTGATCACAGATTACAAAAGTCTCATCTATCTACAATTAATAATAAAACCTTTCAAACACTTAGTATATTGAATCTCAGAGTTTTAAGCATACAATCTTCATATTAAATACTGAAAGGAATCAGATACTGTAGTATCTAATGCAATTAGTCACAGACCTGATTTCATGAGTGAGAGTTCTGCAAACCAGGTACAAGAAAAGTTCATATTAAACACACTGAGAAGATGTAAGAAATCAGAATGAGTGAACACAATGATCTCTTATTTAAAGAATGATAAGATGTTAGATGATAAGTATTTTATGAAAGTAGTAGAAGAGATGCTTCTGAACTTCAAGCTGAGAAAATTGAAAAATAATGTTATGCTTTACTATAATCTAGAATATGCAGAAGCTCTCTATCTAGAACATTCATTTAGATGTGACTTGATAACTTACATACACAAGGAATTCAGTTACTTAGAAAGCTCTGAACTTATGAGTGTACTCAAATCAAGAGTATACTGACCAAGCATGACTGAGGACATTCAGATATACACTCACAAGTGCCTGAATTATCAGGTCATAAAAGAATCTAAGAAAGAGTTAGAACACAAGAAAGTATAACATCAAATGAAGTGTATGATACAATTATTCAAACAATAAGAGATAAATCTCATAGACATATTACTGTGAATATCAAATGAAAATTAATGAATAATCACTGCTATTGATTATACTACTGACTGATCAGTTATAAAAGCAGTTTCAGAGATAATAGAAGAGGTGATGACAAAGTTTCTACATGATGAGATCTATATCAACTATGAAATATCACATGAGATTCTAACTAATAACAGTGCAAATCTCATAGAAGAAGTAGTGAGGCATTTCATGAGCCAGTTACAGACAAGATATCATAGAACAACATCATATCATCTACAGACAAATGAGAAGATAAAACACTTGAATGAAATCTTGAGCAATATGCTGATAAAATATCTAGTGAGCAAGTCTACAAGACTATGAGATGAATATCTCAGACAGGTGCTATTAGTCACACAGATTCAACAGCATGCAGTCTTCGAGCATTCATCATTCTACCTGTTATATGAATTGCATCCGCGCATTCTGAAGAATGCTTCAGAAAAGATGAGGAAGAGAACAGCAGTTGCAGATATATCAGTTACAGACACAGCAGAAACAGCAGTTGCAGATGCAATAGTTGCAGACATAGAATCAAGATTGAAAGAGATCAGCCATACACATGCAAAAGCTAACAAGTTACTTCTGAATCAAGCAATTCAATCAAAAAGAATACAAGACTCACTAGTTAAGAAATCAAGTCTCAAGATGAGAATATAAGTTCTTATACATAATGAGAGTTCTGAGAAGTTTCAATCTAGATGATTTGAGTCATATAAAATACTCAAATCACATTCTCTGAGAACATACACATTGAAAGAACTAGAGAGATGAGTCTTACACAACTTAATAAATGATTCATAACTTATAAAAGCAAAGATGCAAGACTTGAGTGAATTATAATTATCTACAGCACTATTATCAGTGTTGAAAAAGAAGAGACTTATAATTGAAAAGTCTCACAAAGTAAGAGAAATCATAGACACTTATAAATTAGATAATCTCACTTATTTCAATCTTTTCATGATTATAAGAAAAGAATGAGAAGTAATGAAGAAATCAGATAAATATCACACTTTAATAAGTGATAAG